ATCCTCTGGTGCAGGCTGGATTAGAGCCATTTGTTCAATATACTTTCGCTTCTTAATTCTAGGGAATTTCGCTCCATCTTTACAATAACCTTCCTTCTTTCTTTAACATTTGATCTCTTGCTCTCCTATGTAGCATCCATAGAAAAAGCGAAGTTAACAAAGCTCTTTCTATTTTAGGATTGGTAGCGCCGACTAATCTCAATTTGGTGGCGACGGGAAATACCAGTTTGAATGCATCCTGGACTTACACACAAGGCAGCACTCCTGTCCAGAAGTATACAGTAAAGATAACTTCAAGTAAAAATCCCAACACGACTACCCAGGAAACAACAGAAAAATATATCACGGTGAATAACCTCGAGTGCTTCACGGAATATACTGTTGAAATTGCGGCAGTCGGTAATGACATGGCTGGCCCGACGGTCAGTGGAAAGGTGAAAACTTGGCCAGGACGTAAGTTGTCGAACTTTAAAAGTAAATGTCTTTACCTTTCGCTTGAAGTATAATAATTCAACCATTTAATATAAGCTTTTCCTGTCAAGTTGTGCATTCTTGCAATTTATGCTAATTTTAACCTTATTTCGCAACCATTACTCCTCTTTATGCATGTGCTTAGTGCTGCAGATTAATTGATCATCATGTTTCTGCAAATGATTAGTACTGATTTTGGTAGAGTCGTGACGTTTGAGAAGTGCATTAGTAACCAAACCACGTGCGATACAGACCTTGCACAATAACCCTTGCTCCGAATGTGTCCATGCAGCTATACTTTCCCAAAAGATTGGCCATGGGAGACCTTCTCGCAGAATTAACCTACTGTTACTTCCTTCACTTTTGCATAAGATCTCCTTTTGTTGTTGTTGCTAGAGTTCAAATCTATATAGTGATCGGTGTAGATATTTTTAATTAGCATATAATTATCTATGCTGAACTACGATAACTCTTATTGGAATTTAATATGTTTGAGCCACATTTGTCATTTCGTCTTACGTAGATTTGCCCAATTCTTAATCTGGTTTGCATAACCTACTTGACTGAACGTTTTCGAAGAAAGCTAGCTGATAAAACGCTTATTGTAGTTAGTTATTTTCGCAGTTCTGTAATTTTTGTCATTCATACTCGATTTAATATATGTAATATTCCTTGTAGGAAAGTTTTGCGGGTTGACCGTATATTTTGAAATTATATTTTTTATTGCAAATTAGGTGTGGCTACCTGCTTTTTTATAAAAAAAATTGCACAAAAACCTCTATAAAAGTCACTTATAGACTTTTAATTAGCAAACTTAGGATATGATTGATAAAAGTCAAGGACGTGCATCAGCGAACGTCAGTGTACTCATATATTTGCTAATTTTTTGAATGTGTACTTTCTGAAATTTTGGCTATTTGTTTTAGGATTCGGTGTTTCTAGTAGCGCAAGGACAATTAAACGTTTGAATCATCTTACACACTGTTAAATAATCCACTTTTTCTCGCTAAGTTGGGCATTTACTAATTCCTACCACGAGTCATCAGACACCATAAATATGTTGTTTTGACTGAACGCTCATAGGCAACTGTAAATGAAACGGACGTTGACATATAAACTTTCAGGTAGTGGTTTGGAAATACAAAGTTGTGAGAAGATGGTTTACTTACGTCGCAGACGCGCTTACAGTTATTTTTTTACTACCGGTAGATTCATTGTCTTAACTGAATTCACGTGCCATTATGGTAGACACTGTGTTTTAACTTTACACATTTTTACGTTTTAGTACCCGAGAAGTCGATAATATATTACATAGGGTATAAGCATACGAAACATATCGAGGTAAGATTTAGAGAGCCTCGGTTAACTGGAGAGCTTGAATCTTATGAATTTGCGTTGTATTTCAATAGTACAAATCTGGTCGAAAGGGAACTTGAAACGTTACTTTCCAGGCAGCGCCATGGGAAAGGCAAACGCTTTAGCAAATGGTTTACTCCACTTCGGGCATTCTTAGGTTTTTTTGCTAATTACAGTTAAAGTAAATGTTCCAATTGAATTCATGTGACGTTATGTAGGATAATACATTAAAATGTTATTCCTTTGTACTTTTTTAGTACCCGAGATGCCGGAAATTTATTATCTTGGTTACTCGAGTGCTCCAAAGCGAATCGATGTAAAATTCAGAGAGCCTCGGTTAAATGGAGAGCTATCCTCTTATGAATACGAGTTCTATTTCAATGATACTTCCTTTGACGGTGGCTGGGCTTTCACGGGCAGTTTCGATTCCAAACCATTAAAAAAATTGGGCGGCTATTTTGTGGAAGTGTGGGCCAATACGAAACCGAACCAGGAAGGCCATGGTGGTGGTAGGGGTCCCGCATGCCGGGCCGGACCAATTATGTATCCACCTCGTAAGCTCTTTATTTTTTCTATGCGTTTTATTGGTAGAATAGGGGAAAAGATGTGGCTGTCCGATGCAAATTTATGTTTGTCTACTTTTTTATGTCATTTTCCGAGGGAATTGTGAATAATTTAAAGGCGTTTACTAAAATAAAATCTAGAGGCTACCTATCCGCCGGGTTAAAAACAACACGTAAAGTGACTAAAGGAAATTTTCGAATCATTTACGAATAATCTGATACCATATTCGTTCTTGTCCACAGGTGGGCTGGGGAGGTTTGTAATTACTAATTACTAAACTACGTTCTCATTTAAGTGGTAGAGAAAATATCGCTTTCAAAATTTTAAGCACATTATTTTTTGAAAAAGAAAACCACACACTATTGCAGAACAACTGACTTTTAGTTGAAAATCATGCAACTTAAACCTAATTTATTTAAATAATTTTAATTTTAAAATGCTGTATTGGGTGTTGGTAAGATTGTTAATTTAAAATTACAATTCACCTGAACGTAAGGTTTTCGTTA